CCACATTTAGGGTGTGTCTTCCGGCTTTAGATGATCCAATCAAGAAGATCTCTTTCATTTCAGTTAATCTCAGATCAAATCAAGTTGACACCCAGGATTAGCCATCACAGTGTTCTATATGCTTCTTGTATTTATATGGGCATGTCTTTCTTTAATTTTTGGAAATTTCCTCTACAATCCTGTTGAAGATCTGGTCCATATCATTATCGTGAGATTCTTCTCCTTCCTGTATGCCTACGATGCATAAGTTTGGTCTTTTATGGTGTCACACAATTCCTGCATATTTCATCCTGTGTTTTCTTAAAATTTTCAGAATCTTTGCTTGAGTTGTCTAATTCATCCATTTTATCTTCCAGTCCTGGTATTCTGTTTTCCATTTTGTTCATCCTATTGGTGAGGCTTTCTCCTGTCGTTTCTAATTGGCTTATTGAGTGTTTCATTTCCTTCTTCCTTTCAGCCTGATTATTCTTAAATATTTCTAACTCTTTTCTTAATTCATTCAGCAGTTTATCCTTGTTGTCTTTCAGTTCTTTGATTTCTTTGTTTTTGTGTTCTTTAAATTCACTGAATTCTTTAACATGTTTAGAATTGTTTCATGTCCTGTGTTATCTCTAGGATGTTTTCATTGTACTCCTCTACAGGGCTGTTGGTATTTGGTGGGGGATATATTATTTGGGTTTTTTATGTTATTATTTTTTTGCCATGACTTTGTCATGTGGATTTCTTTTGTAGTTTCTGATTCTTGTGTGAGGCCCAAGCCTTCCTTTGTTTAGTTTAGGTTGGCTTCTTTTTGTAAACTTTGTGTGCCTTTGTGGTTTACTTGTTGGGCATGCAAAGCTATTTTGTCTAGGCTTCAAGTTCTCTCTTTTGTTTTTATATTGGAGGGGCCAAATTGATTTTGTCTTCTTGCTCAGGAATTCCCACAGAGGATGGAGTTGGATGAGGATCAGATGCTCTCAGGCTTTCTCCTAAGGACTGGATCCCTCCAGGAAAGCTGCTGGCCACAGGAAGATGGGGGGCTGGTTCTCCCAGAGATGCAAAGGGAAGTGGGGATGGGAAGAGGCCCTGAGGGCTCCTGGGGACTAGAGTGAGGATTTGGGTTGGTCTGGATGCAAATGATCAGGAAGCAGTGAGGAGTCTGGGCCAAGAGATCAGACTAGCGGTCTGGAGTGCCAAGACAAGAAATATGTCAGTGCCCCTGTTAGGAGAAGAGATGGTGTGGGGGAGCTGGGAGGGTGAATGAGGCTGGGGGAGTCAAGGCACAGTGGATGCTGCCAAACTTACCCAGGAAAACTGCTGGCCCCAGGAAGCTCCTTGCTTCTTATTTTATAAAACACATCTGTGCTGGATAGCTTTAGTGTCAACTTGACACACCTGGGTTGAGGGAGCCTCAATTGGGGAATTGCCTCCATTGGACTGGCCTGTGGCCATGTCTGTGGGGCATTTTCTTGATTGTTGAATGATATGGGAGGGCCCAGCCCACTGTGGGTGTGGTCACCCCTGGGCAGGTGGGCCTGTGTTGGATAAGAGAGCAAGCTGAGCAGGGGCCAGGAGAGCAAGCCAGTAAGCAGAGTTCCTCCATGGCCTGTGTTCCAGCTCCTGCTTCCAGGTTCCTGCCCTGAGTTCCTACCTTGGGCTCCCTGATGAACTGCGACCTGGGAGATGTAAGATAAATAAACCCTTTCTTCCCCAAGTTGGTATTGGTCAGAGTGTTTTGTCACAGCAATGGAGAAACAAACTAAGACAACATCTGGCTGTCATGTGGAGAAGGGGCTGTTGTAGAGCTAGTGTTAAAATAGGAAGACAAACCAGAAGACCATAGAAGAGTTCAGATGAATAGCTATGGTCATTTGGACTGGAGTGTGAAGACTGATTGACAGATCCATGACATGTTGTGCAGATCATGTCAATGGGACTTGCCCATAGATAGGACATCAGGTTCAAGCAGGCTGTTAGATATAAACCTGTACTTTAAAGAAGAGGGCAGGGCTAGAGGTGGTAGAATTTGGGAATCACTTATATTTGGCTTAAGGTTCAGAAAAATCTCTTTGTGCTCAGCTCTAGAAATGAGTCTAGGGTGTTCATTAGCTTTTCTTGGCTCTGTTGCTTAATATCATTGTTATAATACAGTTATATCCCATTGTGAAATTAAAGAAAGAAATGAAAAAATTTTAGATTTCAAGATTTAAAATTATAATATGTGAAAATTTTATGCGGTTCAAATATATTTGTGGAATTAGAGAGAGATTAAATAGATTTACTCATGAAAAATTTTATCCCAAGACATGCATCTACAAAGAGTAGGTTAATAATCTGTGAAGCTGTACTTGGTTGTAGTCTATTTATAATTGTTGTATGTTGGATCTGGACTATCCCTACATGCCCATGTAGTTAAGTCTTGGTCGCCAAGGTGGTGCTATTGGAGGTGGTTGAACCTTGAGAGGTAAAGCCTTAGGTGAAGTCCTTAGACCACTGCCAGTGTGCCTTTAAGGGGGATTGTAGGACACTCACCCACTTCTCTTAGCCTTTTTTTGCTTCATGGTTATGAGGTAACCAATTTTGTTCTGCCAGGCACTATGGCTGTGATGTGCTTCCTTGCCTCAGACCAAGAAGCCAGGGGCCAACCAAATGATGCATTGGGGCCTTCAAAACACTGAGTCAAAATAAATATATTTTTTTCTTTATAAACTGATTATCTCATGTCAGATATACACATTAGTACATAAGAAGCATATTAATATGTAGCTAATAGTGAATCTGATTTCCACATTCAGTGGTAGATTTTTGTCATAGTATTTGGCTGCATATTTTTCATATCACCATATGCAGTTTAAAAACTCTAAAGTTGAATACTATTATACAGAGATAATTAAAAAATATTTTTTATTTTTTTATTTTATGTGTATGAATGTATTGCTTGCATGTTTGTAAATGCACCTGTATCCTGCCATGCCCAAGGAGGTCAGAAAAGGGCATTGGATCCCCTGGAACTGGAGTTACTGACAGTTGTTAGTCACCATGTGGGTGCTGGGAATTGAACCTGGGTCCTCTGCAAGAGCAGTCAGTGCCCTTAACTGCTGAGCCATCTCTCCAACCCAGAGAGATGATTTTTAAAATATAGAAGAATCTTATTTTTATTTTTGCTGTGATTGCCATCACCGTCATCATTCATCTCAATGCACTCCCTGTTAGTCAGGAAGTGAGTTGACTAATTTGTTTACCTTTTAATTCAAACACAAATGCCAATAAAAGTGACATCAGTTCCTCTGTGAAGGTATTATGAAGTTATGTGGAAGATGACATTTCTGAAAAATATAGACTTTCTTGGTCCAGTTTCTCATTGTATTTCTAATAGTTGTTTAGGCAGCAGAAGGATGATTCTATGTAGGAGATACCTTTCTCTTTCCATACCCATTTTCTAATCAGTTATGTTTGTGACCTTTTGATGTCACTAAGTGAGCTATTTAGGAGTTGTTTTAATTGGCATGGAGCCACTTGAAACAGCTTTAACACCCTCATCAGCCCCTCCCAGGAAAGTGGTGCTTTCTTTATCTCCCCTGAGCCATGGGAATCTTGTTTCATCATTCAGCAATTTTACATTTTTTTTCCTCCCCCAGCTATCTCACACCAACTTGGAATGTGGTACTGCAAAATTCACCTTTGTATTCTTCCATCTGGGTATCCCTTTGTTTCCCTTGATTGTGTACGGATGTTGTACTATTTTATAGTTTTATAGTTGACTGCGTATGATAATTCTTATCTCAAAATCCCTTCACATTCACTGACTGTAAGGTATGCAGTTATATTTGAAGAATGGGAATAACAGTATGTATTTAAATATGCTAAATTCTCTCTGCATCGTCTACAGGGTGGTCTGAGCATAAAGGCTACAAGTGTGCTCCCTTCCTGATGTGCCAAGCAAATCCATTATCTAAGGCGGTCCCTGGTATTGGGTCCTTGCATGTTTCAGCATGGCTTTGTTCCAGCTTTTATGAGAGGATCTAAATCTGGGCATGGCACATTGCCCTTTGGCTTTTCTTTGTTCTTCTCTCAACCAGGACCAAAGTCTCCAAAAGTGGTGTTCTTCTTTGTTACTATGCAATCTCTCATACTCCTTTATGTGTCTGAGATATTGTGTTGCTCATGTGGTCTAACGTGGGGTTTCGGGTTGAGGAAGGTTGCAAATGGCCACTTGCATGAAACTTGTGAAGGCACTCTTTTCAAGAGTTCCAACTCCCGGAAGTTTTCTCTCTCTACCCCGCAGCACTACTGCCTCTCATTTTACCCACAGTCACTGCTGGTTCTTTGACCTGAAGCCTCTTTTCCCCCATCAAAACTTGGACTCAGCTAAGGATCTGAATATATTTCTACAAGGCAGTAAATATTTAAAAAATAAAGGTGATGCTTATGCCAGCTCAGTATAAGCATTCCATATTGTTGTACATCACTACATGGTATCCTACAACAGTATGTAAATAACATTTTTCCATTAAAAGTCATCTAAGTTCTAAAACAGTTTATCATAAGAAGAGCTAGCATTTTCTAGCCACTGAAAATGTGAAACTACAGTGATAAACATCTGGCAGGACAGTTTCAAGAACAACCTTGTTAGCCTCAACAGCCTCTGTGTAGGAAGTTGACATCACCTACCTAGAGAGATGGTATCTGGTAGCTGGTATCTGACCCATACCTGCTCCATTGCAGTCCCTTCGGTGAAAGACACAGAGGCTCCAGGTCACATGGGAGTGTTTTGGGGCTGGAGAAACTGGGAAGAATGCTCAGAGCATTATAATGATCCTGCAATTAGTTCACCACAGCTAGCCTAGGAGACTGAAATGCTTTACCTTTCATGTTATATAAAAGTAAACAGGAGGGTAGTGTCAAGGTGTATATGAAGAACGTTATGCATATGAGTGTCCAGCACCAAAAGGTCTTTATCGATGTTTCATTTGTATTTGTTCTCCACAGTATTTGAACTATGCTGTGTGTTTTCTTTTCAGCTCCACGTTGTCCATTGGAATTCAGACAAATACCCTAGCTTTGTTGAGGCGGCTCATGAGCCAGATGGACTTGCCGTCCTGGGAGTATTTTTACAGGCAAGAATCCATTCATTTTATTTTAAATCATCAGCTGTCCAACCAGTTTTTTAAATAGTAAACTAGTTCTGGGCCTAGTGGTAAATATTAAAAAAATACATATCAGTTTGGGAGCATAGTCTGATAATTCTGACTGCCAGTCTAAGATTTGCATGTGAGTAGCAACAGCAGCATCAGCAACAAGAATAGCAGCAGGAGCAACAGTTGAGACCTGAACAGAAAACATGTATTCTAGACTCTCTGACTCTTAATTTCAGAATTCGAGGTAGCAAACAGAGGAAAGTTCTAGCTCACCGTTCTTGAAAGTACTTGTTTGACCACAGTGGCAAATGTGGTCAATATACTGACCATTCTTTTGAAAAAAGTGCTATGTTCCCTTTTTCTAATATTTGCGTGTGAACAGGCAAGTATTGTCATCACACCTGGGGACCGGTTGGGCCTCTCAGCCCCCTCAGTCACCACATGCTTACAGGGTGTGCCCTTTTCCATTCTCTGTATGATGTAGTAACTCATGGAGCTGGGGTGAGGAGGGAAGGTAAAGATAGAGAGTGCTGTGGAAAGCAACAGCGACTTATCTTTGGCTTATCCAAGTCTGTATCTATGTGGTGGCAGCAGGATGCAAGAGAAAACACTTTAGTCTCTCAGGATTTAAAACCTTCAGGTGGATTCAAGAAACCCCTATTAATGAAAGATATATGTTTTATAAATGTGTGTATTTAAGATGCATTTGCTTTTGAGAGTGAATCCCCTTGCTTTGGGATTTCAACTAATTTTAGACTGCAGGAGGGAGATTCTTTCATCCTATTTGGTAGCAGCCTAAGCAATGTGGATCTAGGGTCTGAATGTCATATCTGGCTTAATAGTCAGGTATTTTGTTACTGTCAAGTTAACCTATACTTTAGACATTCAGAAGGCTGAAAATAACATGAAGTTGCTGCTACTAGTTTTAGAATAAAACTGAAAGTGCAGTGCAGGGTCCCTGTAATGCTATCTGTTCAGATACTTCTGGCAGAATCAGCTTGTCAGATACAAAAGAACCTTTGTTCTAAAACAACCACTCTGCTTTGCTCTGACTCCAGCTTTTAGAAAATAATTTAAAAAGAGTGCTTAAATGGAATGCTTGAGTCAGTTTGCTACTGTAAATATTTCTTTTTTAAATTTTGCATTTTTAGATTGGGGAACACAATCCCCAGTTGCAAAAGATCACTGACATTTTGGACTCCATTAAAGAAAAGGTAAAATGAATTACTATTTGTTACTGACTAACATTTTCCTTTGCTCTTAAATTCTTTCTCTTCCTTTAAAGTCTTATACATTAGACATAGCGTATGCTGGTGACTTTGAAGCAGATTTCAGCATATTAGATCAAAAGGCAGAAGTAATTTCCTGCTACATATCTTTTTGAAATTTTAAAGGTCTGTAATTATCTAAAATAATCACCAATAAATCTATGAAGAATTCATTTCTAATATTACAATATTATAGAAGAAGACAAGTTATTACATATTTTAAAGAATATTTACATAAAAACAAATCATACTTTTTTTTTCTTAATCCAGGGTCTCCATAAACATTCCAAACTAGACTGTTACTCCCTATTTAGCCCAGGTTGACCTTGAGCTCAGGATTCCCCCTGTCTCTACCTCTTGACTGCTAGGATTATAGGCCTGTGCTACTGTATCTGACTCTTGTCTTCTTAAATAAATCTGTAACTTTATCTAATCTTGTTTGGATTAAGGCAGAAATTTGTTTTAAGATAGAGGAGTACTAATGGAAGGTATTTAAACAGTATTTATGTAATTACTAAGTATGCAGTATTTTGATGGATGCGTGTGTGTGTATGTGTGTGTGTGTGTGTGTGTGTGTGTGTGTATTTATCTCATTTGTAATCTATGAGAATTCTCTTTACTTTTTCCAGGGTAAACAAACTCGATTCACAAATTTTGACCCATTATCTCTGCTTCCTCCCTCCTGGGACTACTGGACATACCCTGGTTCTCTGACAGTTCCACCTCTTCTTGAGAGTGTCACATGGATTGTTTTAAAACAACCTATAAATATCAGCTCTCAACAGGTATGTTGCTTCTTCTGAGTTGGCTGTGATCTTCTCAGAGGAAGCTGCTGAAACATTTTTTTAAAACCCTGTCTTTATTTCTAGCATGTTTTGAAGTCTGTTTTCCTTTATTAATTAGATGAATGGTTGGATGAGGTTTGCATTCTCTGTCTCCTTTCTTCTCTCCCTCCCTTCCTTCTGTCCTTTCTACAAGATCCTTTATGTAGCCTAGGCTGGCCTTAACATCGTGATACTTCTGTGTCAGCCCCCCAATGCTGGGATTACAGGCAGGTGCCACCATTAAAACTGTGGGGATTTTGTCTCTTTTACTTGATTTCTGTGTCAGTGAATTCCTTCCGGCTTCTAAGAAATGTAATGTGTGTAAAGTCTCCTTTGAGAGAGAAGGACCATTTTGAATGCTTGGTTATTTGATTTTGTTTTCTTTTGTCCTATTGGAGATATAAACAGGCCAAGTTCAGAGAGGAAAGACAGGAGAGAGGCTTCTCAGGAAAGATGAGCTTTTTTCTCTCTCCTCAGTCCTAGACTGCTGCTGCCACAGATTTTGAAGTGAACATTGAGAGTGCAGTTGCCTGAGAAACGTGTACCTGCCAGCTTCAAGAAGAGGGAATGCTGTGCACTCAAACCTTCAGAAGGGTACAGCTCATGTCTAGGGTTTTTACTGCAACTAACAAAGTTGATTTTTGGCCTTTGTTGACAAAACTTTTGTAGGGTTGCTTGAGGGAACATTGCTAAAAGCTGTAGCTGCACACCTTCTTTGGAAAGCATTTATTCATTAAAGCTTTTTTTTTTTTGTCTTTTGCAGTGATGGAAACCAAACACAGGGCCATTGCTCATGCTAAGCAGGCTCTTGGTAATGGAGGAGCACCTCCGACCCTCTTTTGTTGTTACATGATTATTGGGCCCTCAGCATAGGACAAGAGGTCTAGAGTCAAAGGATGTCTCAAGTCCTCAGAAACTGCTTGACGGTCTGCACAGTGCAGCTCAACTTGTGTTCTGGGATGCCAAGTTTCTTAGTGGAATTTGTTTTCACTTCTGTTGAGCTTTTTAAATCTAAGCACTACAATTTTAGCAAAAGCATGGTCTAGATAATTTTGCCATGAATAAGGTACACTGACCTGCTCCAGGTTTGCCTGTCTGCCAGGCTTTGTATCTCTACTCCCTTGATCAGTATGAGGCTGTTTACCTTCCCAGGACCATCTCAGAACATGTCTCCCCTTGGGGTGAGCACGGCACTTGTGTTGAGTGTTTCCCCTCATTGACTTTGTATTTAGGGTTACAAACAAAAAATGATAGTATATAGTTATTAAAACACCTTGGATAATGCTGGATATGGTGGTGCAGAGGCAGGCAAAGTCTGCAGCCTAGTCTATATAGTGAGTTCCAGGCCAGATGATCTCAAAAGACCAAACAAACAAACAAATAAACAAACAAAAAACCACCTTGGATAAAATCCAGGACTCCTGTGAATTTTTTCTATTGTCTAATGATAAGAAAAATGACCTGATTACTGAGTCAGTGGCCTCATAAGTGAATTTTCTTTCTCATTTCCTTTAACAATTTAAGCTGTTTACTTTTTCACTCATTTACTAAATTTAAATAACTTAATAAGTATTAATGATAACTTCAGAATGATTAATAGTAAGGCGATCGTTTCCCCTTAAAGAACATCTTTATTCCTTAAAGACACTTGAAAAAAAATAACTTTTAATTGTTATTTTTTTTCAATCCATGAGTAACTTAGAAAAGGATATTATCAAAATATGTAATTTAATTCTTTAAAAAGAATAAAATTAACGTTACTAAAAATAGCTCCCTGCAAAGTTAAGAATTATAACTGCCTCACCATGGACTCACTGCTTTGCCATGTTTAAGATTCATTGAATTAATATTATTAACATGACATTTCATGTAGGAGAGTATATGAAGAATGACTTCATTTTAGAGCTTCTGTGGACTGGTAATTCCCTTTGAAGCATTAACTTAAATTGACTACAGCAGGGATACTTTCAGATATTTTAATTTTAACCAAATTGATGGAGATATTTAGTAAACAATCAAGCTACTGTGAAGGCTTTAAGAGTTCAAGAGTTATATGTATGTAAAAATCCAGCTCCAACTTAATCACAAGGAAAAAAAATCAGATAAAAATCCTCATCCGGGTACCATACCATAAAATACCTAATTAGGATTCCTTTCAAAATACCAAGGTTGTCAAAAGCAAGATAAATCTGAGAAACTAACAAGAAATATTGAAGGAGGGGCTGGGGATTTGGCTTAGTGGCAGAGCACTTGCCTAGTGCCTTGCTGTATACAAATCCGTGGGTTCAATCTCCAGCACTGCAAAGCAGAATAAAATAATAATAATAGAAAGACATAAAGCAAATGCAAAGGAGTCTGAATGAAGGCTACATTAGATTATGATGTCATGTTCATAGCAGATTATTAGCTATGGGGAGGGCACCACACAAGGTAAAATGTGAATGAATAGTTATCCTTGCAGTAATTCTGTAAATCTAAATTTTTTTCTAAAATAAAAGTTTATAGAAATGGAAAACAGGGCCTGGAGAAATGGTTCAGCGGTTACGAACACTGGAAGCTCTTGCAGAGGACAAGGGTTTGGCTCCCCACACCCACATGGCAGCAAACAACCATCAATAACTTCCAGCTAGATCTGATGCCCTCTTCTGACACAAGTGTATCTACCTACATGCAGGCAATACACTCATTATAAAATATAAATAATAAATAAAATATATTTTTTAAAGTTTATAAAAATGCAAAACATTGGTAGAATTATTCAGTTGCTCAGCATTTTTATATACATTGAGACAAAATGTCTTATATTGGTGATTTAAAGAATTGCTTTGCAAAATTTTTTTAAATATTTAATTCTTTTGAACTTTTTTTCTTCTTCCTCTTCCTCCTCCTCTTCTTCCTCTTCTTTTTCTCCTCCCCCCCTCCTCTTCCCCCCTCCTCCCTCCTCCCTCCTCCTCCTATGTCAAAGGACCACTTTGTGAAGTTAATTCTCTCCTTTCCACCTATGCATGTGTTCTGGGGGATTGTGGCAAGTGTCTTTACCCACTGAGTTTTATTTCCAGCCTCCAAATAATTTTTAAGCTCTTTCTTTTGAAGGTCACGAGAATATTGTCTGTATTCGTTTTTCAACCCCATCATATAATGCTACCAACTCTGCAGAGTAAACTCTCCCGACTTCTTGCCAGACTTTTTCCCTAGGGTTTTCTGTTGCTATTTCTTGCCAAATCATTGTTTGATCTAAAAAGAAAATTAGACATTTAAAGTTTTATTTTTCTTAATTTAGATCCATTTTCCCCTTAGAGTCACCTTTTTGAGTCTTTAGTTCTTGATTTAACTGCATGCCAGTGAACAGACAAACTGGCATTTTCAGTAATAACCTCACATTTTCTTTGGGAGGCTGGCTTTTCCTGTCAGATGGTTTCAGGGTACTCTAATCAGAATTGATTTACTCAGCTGCTAAAATACAGTGTGCAAAATACTTGGCTTTGATTTTATCTTCCTTTAAAAATATTATGACACTATTTGCATACTATAAAGCTTACAAATTTAAGTGCGTAGTAGCTGTTTTTGGTTCTGGTACACCATTTATGCAACAACTACCACCACAGTCAAGATGTAGAGCAGATGTCTTGGTCAAAAGCTTCCTTGGCATTTCTGCACTTTTTCTCTTCCTCTCACAGCCCCAAGAAGCTATCTGCATGCTGTCACTAGAATTTTTCATTTTCTAGAATTTTATTTAATGAATTAAACAGTAAGTATTTTTTAAACAAAATATTGCATCAATTTTATTAGCTCCTTTGAAAATATATTCTTATATAGTTTTTAAAAAATATTTAATAACTACATGATTAGAAGAAACATTTCATTACAGCTTTAACATATTCAGTAACACACGCCAGAACAAAAGTATCTCTCTTTCACAAGTGGCTGCAAGTTTCTAGGTTCACAGTTGAATTAATACAATTACACAATATTGAACTCAGTATAAGCCCTGTAAGACATAAAATTGAATGAGTTTTTAACATTTAAAAAAGATCTCTATTTTATCATTAAAATACGCAGTTTCAT